AGGGTTTATAGGCTTTTTAGGGTTTTTAATAGGGTTTAGAGGTTTTAGGGTTTATAGGTTTTAGGAAGGATAGGCCTAATTACATGCAAGCCTGGCAACCCGGCATCCTTCAGGCTGGCGGTGGCTGTAAAGCGCTCGACACCCTCGGAATCCCGCCACCGTCCTTTGGCGGAGTGGGCTGGTTGTTCCAGTACTGACATCCTATGCAATCGCTAAGTCGTACGAGTCTGGACCACACTTGCAAGCGAGAATCGGGTAGTGCGGGTTCGGGCTTTGGATTGCTTCTCATGCCTTTTGAGCACACCACGGTCCAAGGTTTTGACTTGGGGAGAATTCGAGTACATCTTAGTTCGTTTCGGAGTGGAGCTCCCCCAATGCATAAGCCAGAAAGCCTGGCTATATACCTTGGCTTGCTTTCACAGCAGATGGTTTGTGTCTCCAACCACGAACGATCATAATACGGCCAAGCTGCATAGAGTACCGAATTGCAGAGCCACTCAAACCGATTGTGTTTGTGGAGGAGTGAACAGAACGGGTGTTCCAATAGCCACGTAGTATGCATAGCCGTCATCAGTAATATTGCCAGAACAACCCTTAGATTCGGATGAAATTAGGCACGACTTCTTCGATGTCTATGGCATATGAGTGATACATGCAATACACGTACTTGCAGCCATAGACTCCGGCTAATCATCGTATTCGCTTGGGATACACTCGCGTAGCCATCCTGACCCCGGAAATTGAGAAAGGATCGTAAGCTTGTGGCCCTATTTGGCACCCCCCAGGAGGAGCAAGTTGGGCCCATCAAGTTCACAGCCGTCTTCTTTTCCCGCATAATGCACCATAACACAAGCCTGAGACTCTGACTGTGCAAGCCCTAGACCTTCCATGGACTGTTGTGAATGCATCTGCTAGCTATGCAAAGGCTGGGCCAAGCCGCGCGAAACCAGCACTGGACAAGAAATCCATGGAGGCACCCCGAGCGATCTCAATGGTCGCAACCGTCTTTCCTTTGGACTTCCTGGGTAGGGTTGTATATATATAGCCTCAAAACAACCAGACCCAATAAGGCCCTGAATTAATTTCTCACAGACCTATAGAAACCCATAGGATCACCTCACTCCTGGGATGAAACTTGAAAAGTGCTGCTATGGGTTTGCCAGGGTCCAGTACTTGGTAGCATTGCCAACCCCCGAAAAAAGATCCAGAAAATCAAAGGATTTGGCCTGCGGGAGGTTCGTCGACCAGAGTAGGAGCATCACCACTGCAAGTAGTACCTAGGCAAGTTTCGGCTAGGACTTTGCTAGCTAGGCCTGGGTCTAGGTTTCCGGTGCAGCTGTCTAGGGTGCAGGGTTGGGTGTTATAAGATTGAAGGCTCAATTCGGTGTGTCAAGGAAACGACTTTATAGAATTATCCGATGTCATCCAGGCAACCTTCGGGGCTCCAACATGAATGAGCCGAGTCAGTAGTGATGACTCCGGCAGCTGTTCAGAATCCATTGCACCGTGTAGGGAATCCATTGCACCATGCATGTACTCTATAGGCATGTATCAGTGTTCGAACACGAGCAATCGATTTGAACATCTGCTTGCACATGAGGGCTGCACTGCGAAGCCATGAAACACTGTCGATCAAGCACATCTCAAACATTCCAGCAAAACCTTCGAAGCACGAGAGAGGTCAGGCAGGTCCTTTAGCAGCAGCACGGCGAGCCACAGCCATCGGTCACCTGTTGCAGTGCCGAGTGCAATGGATTATGCATATAATCATGGAAGTCTTATACATTGCATGAACGTCCTCACTTGTGCTCCCCCAGCTTTAGCAAGTACGTATATTGTCGACATGTCCCACTGCCAGTCCGTTGCCTCGGCATCGAAGTGGCAAGCGACAGCATTCTGCTCGGCCTGAGAAGCATGTGGAGGCTCGGAAATGGAGTTTGGGATTTTTAGGTAGGTAGGATGGGCCTTGAAAAGACAGTGCTCAGGTTGAAGACCATGGACTGGTAGCCAAAGTTCGGAGATCCTGCCCAGATTCTGTAGGGTTTCTAAGGTTTTGTGGGGGGGCTTTAGGGGTGTAGTTTATGATGTTTATAAGGTTTGTAGATTCGGTTTGTGGTCCTTCTCGAAAGAGGTCGAAGTCGACAGGTTGCCCGCACCGCCCATGAAAGGACCTGGCATAGGGTCAAGCAAACCCTGTTGCTAAAGACATAGCATGGTCCTGCGTGCAGCACTACAGCTGGAGACACGACGTTTTGCACCGATCATCGTAGTGCGCACTTTCGATTATTCAGGCTTTTTGCCGTGATTGGGTTGGCCGCCGCCTTTCCCCTAGCAGCAGCACTCCCAATGTACGTAGCTAAACCCTACCGCACGAAATAAAGTGATTGCATGAAAGCAACGATCATCCAAAAGCTGCATCAGCTTCCACTAGGCACATAGCCAGATTCAGTCCTGCTCAGCATAAGCCTTGGGTTGCAAGCAAGAACACAAAATGGTATACCCATGTATGCCTGCATGAATACATGCATACACATACACGCGCACACACAACCACCCACACACACACACACACACTCACACACACACACACACTCACTCTCTCTCTCCCCCGTGGTCTCTATCTCTCTCTATGTCTTTATTATCTCTGCCCCTCTCTCTCTCTCTCTCTCTCTCTCTCTCTCTCTCCCTCTCTCTCTCTGTCTTTAAACAAGTGTTGCCTCTAGATTCAACCAGGTGGCTTGCTTGGCCCGAGCCACTGCTTCCTCTTTCGACAAACCATCTTTCAAAGCGGTGGCCTTTGCTTTATGATACGCACAGCTCTTCCTGCTCTTCAGCCCAGAGTCTTGGGCAGCCCCTTTGCTCTGCTTCTTCTCTTCAGCCTTGGAGGGTTTTGGGGCCGCTTTTGCCTTCGATTTCGCCTTGGCTTTTGGCTTTTTCTGCACCTTGGGTGAGTAAAACCTCGTATCCTGGCTATTCGGTTCCTCCTCCTCTGCCGCTGCCTTGCGCTTCTTGGGGGTGCTTTTCTTTGGGCTCTTGCTTTTGGGCTTGGCCGACTTATCTTCTGGTTCCTTCCTGGGGCGGCCGGGCTTTCTCTTTGGAACAGCAACATCGCTTGTCTTCTTCGGATCCTTCGTGGCTTTCTTTTTGGGTTTGGGCTGGGTCTTGTCGGGCACTTCCTTATTCTTTCCATCCTTCTTGGTCTTCGGCTGGTTCTGGTCACTTGGTGACACAACACCAGCCGTCTGCAACAGGGCAGGCCGATCCTGGCTTGCATCCTCCTTGGCTTTTGCTGCTTCCGTGGCTGGTGCGCCCTTGGGCGCTGGAACCTCTGCCGGGGATTCCACTGGGGGAGCCAAGCGTGACTCCTCATCCTCATGTTCGCCTGGCTCCTCATGCTCATGATCTGATTCATGCTGCATGTCAGGCTCCTTCTTGATTGGGGGCTCCTCAAACGGCTTTTTCTTGCTCGGGATTGGGGGCTCCTCAAACGGCTTTTTCTTGCTTGGGATTGGGCGCTCCTCAAACAGCTCTCTCTTGATTGGGACTGTGGGATTCTCCAACGGCTCTTTCTTGATTGGGGGATCCTGCAAAGGCTTCTTCAAGATTGGGGGCTGCTTCAAAGGCTCTTTCTGGATTGGGGCCTCTGTCAAAGGCTCCTTCTTGACAACTACCTTTGAGGGGCAGCTTTTCGGGGATTTCCTCGGTTCCCACACTGCTGTCTCAGTCTGAAGTCGCTTCTGACCCAGCTTCTGCGGGGTTTCATCCGAGTAGGCATTGGCAGCAAGAGCAGCCGCCTCCTTCTTTAGAACATCTTGGGTGACGCTGGCTGCAGCCTCCTCCAAGATACCCTCATCCATCACTTGAGTGTCTTGGGTCGTCACATTACCTTATATGGTGCATGACAAGTCGGGACACCAAGTGCATGCTACACAGCTCTCACGAATCTAGCTGCATACAGGCTGCCACCTGTTTGGTTTCCCGCTTGGGAACGTTTCTGCTTTGCCATAAGCAGCAACGACAGCTTGTGCTGCTGCTCAGTCAAGGCTCTCAACAGCTCACGCTTCTGGGGAGCAGGCAACTTCTCCCCTGTTTCAGGGGATTTCTCGAGGCCTGTTGCATGCTTCGGCGTGACCACATCCACCACAGGCGAAACGGTTTCCAGGCTTCCTGGGATCAAACAAATTATCGAGATGGCAGGCTTCCTCGGGATCAAACAAATTATAGAACTTGCATGAGGCATCATACTCATGTAAACGAACTAACGGGCAAAGCTTCCGGAAGAAACCGTGCGAGCTGTGCACTCTTTCGAGGGAACCTTGGGAGCTTCGGGCGGAGTGGCTATCTGCGGGGCTTCGGCTTCAGTCTCCATGATCTCATCGTCTGTTCCAGCTTCCGACTCAACATCTTCATCATCATAGCCGACCTGCCACATGACCTAACAAACTCCATTCCTGAACGACTCAAGCAAATCGCCTTGCCTCCTCACATCCGGCATCCAGGATCTCGTTCGATCGCGGCTGCCGTCCTAGGAGAAAACTTGAGGGAGGTGGTAAAAAGCATCGAAATCACATCTGCTAGTAGTACACTTGCAGGCAAAGTACCAGGTGGAATTTCCAGGCCCAAGTGGATATATATCTTTCGAATGTTCTCTTCGTTCGGGCGGTGAGGGAGCTTGCAAATCCTATTGAACATGGAAATCAGGTTCCGAACTCGCCAAGCTTGTTGGCGGCAAAAGTCACCTTAGCTAACCATCGCTCAATCCCGGCAGGACATACAAGCACAAGGTTTCTGATTTATTGAAGCCTAGTCGCGTGTGACCGGTTTCTTGCCCTTCTGACGGGAACGTTGGAAAAACAACTCTACCTCCTCTTGCAAGTTGTCCACCCCAGGCCGCGCTCCCAAATACTCCATGCCCTTTGCAATGACATCCCAATTGAAGTCGAGATCTGCACGGGTCAAAACACCCGGGCCCACGATCAACCGGCCCCCTGCACCCCTTTCCGAAAGGCCCTCCAACTGGAACCACTCGTAGTTCAAGCCAGACTTTGGCAGTTCTTCCTCCAGCGACATTTCTGAAGCCGGACGATGCATGCTTACAACCCCCTGCAAGTTGAAACTGCTCACTGCGATCATGCTTCCTCTATTTTTTGCATGTCCATCATGTACATGTGCATTGCGCGGAAGCCAAAGCTGCATTGTCGACCCAGCATGCATGAAACTCTGCACATCCGCACACACTGTGGCACACACACACACACGCAGAAGCACACCCGCATGCACACACTCACAGAGTCAAGCAAACCGAAGCCAGTGGTACCTCGCGAGTGATGTCCCGGCAGCCCCTGCCAGGTAACATTATGCAGTTCTACAGGGAGACGAACTTCTTCATCCTCTTCGTAGTTTTATCTCTAGTCTATATATATGTATATGTATATGATGACTTTCTTTATAGAGATACTTCGTACATGCAGGATATATGAAGAAAATATATACATGCACGTGTATGTGTATAGCATGAATATGTGTATGTCTAGAGCTCTATACATGTGAACATGTATCTGTATGAGTCGTTTGCCATATATGCATGTAAGCCTTAACTTAGCATTGCCTATGTATACGAGCACATGTGCATGTCTAGCTACCTATACACATGCATGGTGATATGTAAATATATATATGTATGTATGGAATGCACGGATACATACATACATACATACATATACATGTATGAGTGTGTCATGCTGCACATGTAGCTCCCAGACAGGCCCCGCCTCAGCATGGGCCAACGAGGTCCAGCTCGAGCACGAACTTTCAAGAAGATGCACACAAGAGGGATTTCCATACGACACGCTTATTTCTATACGTGATCCATGAAAGACAGGATTTCCATACGTGATTTAGCAATCCTTGGGAAAAACCAAGACAAGCAAAAATAAACATGCGGTTGGGTGTTCTAGGTA